CATGAAAGGCTGAATGAATGAAGAGAATGAATTCTCTATATTTGTATTTTATGTGAATTAGTTCCATTTGTTTTTAATTATTGCAATTTGTTTAGCATATATTTTCCATACAATTCTCTTGCAAAACTCAAGGTGATATTAATAATAAATAATAAATAAATAATAAATACAAACTAATAATTGTCTTCATGAAGGAACTTAGTGCAGCTTTTACAAAATAATAATAAACTGTGATTCAGTGCAGGTACTTGAATGCAATTTCCATTTCATTGGTATTCCAGAAAAAGCATAAGCAGTATCATTATTTTAAAAATCAGCTGAAGCATGTTATTCAAATTCATCAATATCAGTTCTTTTAAGTACTCAAAAATATGTTGTAGTACTGATAAATCTGTATTGCTATTTTTTTATCATTATTACTAATTGTGTTCACAATTTAAATAGATGTTAAAACGACCCTTCAGGCAGAAAGAAACAAAAGGGGGAAAAAAACTTGCATTTTCAGTTTTGCGCTAACAAGAATTTCCATTTATTCTGCCCATATTGGCAAAACAAATAGAAACAAACTCTCTTATGTTTACAATTAAAGTTAATTCAAAACAAAAATTGTTTGCAGCTTGAAGCGCCTCAGTTTTAGGACTGAGCATCATGAAATGCTAAAAGAAAATATTTTGAAATAAATTGAAGGAAATGAAAACAGCAAAGGAGTAGAGGAAAAGATGGAGAGACAAATTATTTCCATTATTCTTAAGATTTTACTCAAACAGCTAAAAGTTGGAGAAATTTAATTAAAAATCAATGAAATTGATTCTCAGATATGTGCCTTCAAACCTGAGAGACCAAGAAAGAAACATAAATACAGGTGCTTCCATTTAAGTAGCTTATGAACTGTAACCAAGGAATCGATATTAGAGGTCACTTTAAAAAAAATGTACATTGTAAATTAACATTAATCATTTCTTTCTTAATCCAGTCCTCATTCAACACATTTTCTCACCATTAAGATATACTAAGTAGTGTTCTACTTTCATGCAAAAAAGGCTGCCTAAACAGTGACCACAGATACACAAAAGTAGGAGGCAAAACTAAAAAAAAAAAAAAATATCTCTTTGGTCTGTAATAATAATAAAGTGAATAATGTACATAACTTGCATAAACACATGACATGACATTCTGTTATTTGCCAAATCAAAGCAAACAAACGAAAAACAGAAACATGCTGGCATAATTTTCCTCTGTGCAACTTTGTGCTCTTTCTTTTTTTCCTTCGTGTATATATTGAGCCTCTGTGAAGATGCAGTTCTCTTTAAATCTCTAATAGGCTTGAGGGTGTTTGTCCTCCCTCCTCCCCTTCTTTCCTTTTGGCTTCTACAATGCAAAGGGGTACTATAGTCCTGAAGAATGGTTTCAGTTGTCTATCCTGAATGGCTGTCGGCATCTCTAGCCATCTAGAAAGGCTAGAAACATTTTGTAGGTGAAAATAGCCACTTTTTCCACGGTGGAGAGTCCATAAAACTCCTCAGAGCATCAGCCATTGGGACTCATTGAATAATTCATCCCTCATTGCAAGCCCATAATGTCTTTTCTGGGCCCTATTGTGAAGACTGTTTTCTCTTCTTTTCTCCTTGAATTATAAAAAGGGTGCCTTCTTTTGTCCATATCAAGCTGCTGCTAGCTGAACCTTTGTCTGGCTAGAGCTAAAGTGTGAGTTTCAATGGACTCTCCCCTCTTTGTTTTCCAAGTTCATCTCCAAGTGTAGATTGTGTATAGAGGGCTTTCTTTGTAAAAGCTGGAAAAGTTGTACAAATGTTTGACCAGCTCATTTGGTACTTTTGTCTCCTGTTCTCCAGGGCCTATGGTAGATGGGAAGGGCATACTTTAGAGGAGGACTGTCAGAGAACCTCAGACAACAAGTCGCACAGAACATTGCCTGCAGCAGGTCTGCCAACCCAGGCAACAAGTTCTTATAAATCTACTACCTATAATGCCAACAAATCTGGACAGAAGTAGATGGCATATCCTCCTCTTCATTTAGCCAGTGAATACAACAGAGACACTTAAATACAAACTCATGCACAAATATGTAGAAATTAAATCTATCTTATTTGATCCAGAAGACATTTCTACGCAGTTAAGTTGGCCGACATTACTTCCAAATAAAACTGATTTTCTTTCATTTGAAAAGTTCAGTTTGTTGCTGGATCTTGGAGCAAACAATGCATAGAGAAAGCAGTCAATCTTTTCAGAATCCTGGACTATTCCTTAATCTATTTACATTCTATAAGTGTTCACAAGTTTCTGAATGTTACAAACCAACCCATACATAGAAGCCAATTACCCTAGAAATAAATGGGCCTTATCAATCAGGTGACTGCCTAGAGTCTATTGTACAGCTATCATTTCACTCTCAAGTTTCAATTTTTGCGAAGACATTGTGAAAAATTGGAATGTTTCTCAGAAAGGCATCAAAATGGCTTGGGATAGAGAAGAAAAGTCTTGCTCTGTGCTTGAGGTATATTTCAACCATAAACACATTCACTTAAAAATAATTTCCACTGAAGTCGTAGTCAATGCAGCTTCTCAAATAGGCCACCACTGACAGCATCTTTGACTTGAAGCCCTTCGGGAAGAGGGCAGGAGCACGACCTTCTCCCAAGGATTTTCCTCCTCCCTTCCTAGCCAGGCCCCTTTTTATTTAATGACTTCAGCTTGACTAACCCCAAATACTGCCCTGATTTAAGGACACAGAGGGATGGGTCTCAACAGATCCAGCCACACGATTGAGCAACTAGCTTTTCACAAAGAATTCACACAAGAAACCTTCCTCTCTCCCCCCCCCCTTTGTCCAGCGCTAGGAGCCTTTTTTCTCCAGATTGCAAAGTGTTCACAAATAACAATTGTATACTGTGAGATCTGAAAGTTGCAAAAAGGGACAAAGAGAAAAGGCAGAACTGCATCCTTATTCTCTTGCAGGTATTTATCTTCCCTCTAAAGCAACATTTTCTATCACAGTTCAGGCCACTTCCCACTTCAAGTATGAGCCAGCAAGACTGCAACCCATTTTTCATACAATAAATGCAAGTAATTCAATATTTCTAGCATGGTATTTAGATGACATGGAATTATTACCTTCATCCCATATTTTTTCCATGCGTATTGGAAATACACTCTGAATGTCTGCCTTTCAGATCAGACTTCTACATGTTACCAAGGAAGTTCCTTCTCTCAAGAAATGAAGAACAAAACTGCTTTAACTCATGAGACTTACAAAACTATAATTGCTCAGAAAGAAATCTGAGTGGCTGCATTCACTAACTTGCCAGTCATAGAGGGCAAAGTCCCAGCAGTCTCATTGGTACAACACCATGCTAAGCTTGGTGGCAGTTAACCCAGTTTAGATATTCAGGAGGGAGAGGCAGGCCGCTAGAGTACAAATCCCAATCATTGGGTGAGTTTATTGTTGAGTATATTGTGAGAATCCAGATATCAGTTCAGTCAATGCCAGATACGTGTGTTATATAAATATTGCTATGTTTGATTGTGTGGGAAGAGGCTTATCCCCAGAAATAGACCTTAAAATTGCAGAAACCTTTACTTCCTAGGATGGAGAATCTTGAATATGAATATAATAGCAGCACATCTACTGTTACATCTAGAAAAATTAAGAAGTTAGCTTCCACTGATTGTGCTGACACATATTTACAGAGAAGCAGGCATAACTAATAAACTGCATTGTTTTTATGCCCAGAACTTGTTCAACAGTAGTAAAGTAACATTTCATCAATTGATTGATTTGAGTTCTATAGCAGCCCATCTCGACAACTGAGTCAATTTATTGACTGCTCCCAATAAATAACTTTCATTGCATTTAATGGAATATCCTTGCTGGATTCTAGACTCAGAAAGTAACCTGAATAAGAGAAAAGATCAATGAACTTTGAATTTTACTTTAAATAATGGCCACAATCTCACCCCTGTCCTCTGCTAATTAAGCCACACTGATTAAAACAGGACTCCTTAAAATCATGGGACAGCAGTCAAATGTTATTGATTATTGTTAAGATGCTTCTTTCCTTTTCCACTCAACTTCTGGGGCTTCCATCCATTCTAAGAACATCTGTGCTCAATATCTATATTAGGAGAATCTTTATCTGCTTAATTATGCCACCAAAAGACACATTGACTTCGAATGCACAAAACCAGGAAGGATATTTTCACCACAATGTGCCAGTAAGGCTTTCCTTTCCAAAGTGTGTTTCTTCTAGTTTCTAGTTTTAGAATTTCCTAAAGAAATCAAGGGGCATGATAAAATTTAATTAGGACTAAAAATCTGTCTAACATTAACTGAGATGAAGATTTAGGCACTGTCAGTTTCTGCAAATTTCTCTCCCTAGGTCTGGCGAGCTGGATTGCACAACTGAGGAAGTGAACCCTGGTCCAGGACATAATCATTTTTAAAGTGCCACTAAATTCTTGATTAGCACAGGGGTGGAGGAGGGAATAGTGTTTACTGCATGTAAGTCATCTTAATTTGGACCCTTAAGACTGACGTCTACCATTGACACAGGAGAAATCAGAGAGGCAGACAAATGCAACCATGCTTTTCAAACCGCTCCACTTTTCACCACCTCTGAATAGCTTTCCAAGCTGAGTCCCAAAAACTTCACCTCCAAGAGGCATTTTTTTTTGCAATCCACATCCTATATAGGTTCCCCCCAGAAAGTCACGGAGTTTCCTAAGTCTGGTCCCGAAATTATAGCCTCCCCTCCCGGTTCCAACGCAAAAGGAAAGGCAAAATCCACCAGATGCGCCCACCTGCAACAGCTGCCACCACCACTCAGGTAACCCTGCGACCTCTCTCACGACACAGCACAACTTTCCCTTCCCTCCTGCCCAGGAAGTCCAGCTCCGGCCCTCCTCGGTCTGGCCGGGCTTTTCTGCAAGACAGTCGCCCCCCCCCCTCCTCCTCCTCCCACGCCACCGAGTCCGGGGGAGGCGACCGCCTTTACCTCTTTCGCTGAGGATGCCGTCGATGCTATGTTTGGCCTTTTTCTCGCTCTCCTCCGCTTCCTTCCGCTCCAGCTCCCCTCCTTCTTCTTCTTCTTCTTCTTCCCCTTTCCCAAATTTGCTTCTCAAGATGCGGCTGATGGAACTCACTTGAGAAAGAAAGAGGAAAGAGAGGCGTGAAGCGGGGGAACCGGGAAGAAGCCGAGACTGGGCTCTGAGTCGCCCCTGGGCACGCGGGAGAGAACTGGGAAGACGGTAGAGAACTGGGAAGACCGCTGGGCACACGGTAGAGAACTGGGAATAACGGCTGACGAAATGGGGCTAGTGATGAGCCTTCCGATTGCAGTTTCCCGGTCTTTTATAATTGGTTCCCCCGCCTTCCACACACACACACACACACACACACACACCATTTCCGAGAACTCGAAGGGTTTTTTTTGCTCACACGCTGGTTTAGTTTGCCAAAGATCCTCCTCGGCTAGTTATTGGATCAAAGCACCCTCTGACTCGCCACAGAGCCTTGAACCCTTAAAACGACCGAATGGGTTCGGCTCTAAGCTCCCTTGACGTGTTCTGGCCAATGTACCCGCGATGCTTTTAAGCCACTTGGTTACACCCGGTCGTATGAACGAACGAACGCGGGCCCGAGAGGCGAAGTTTTTACCTTGATGTGTTTTACGATTACAACCCATGGGGCTCATTTATGGTTTTAACCTGTAGAGTCAGTCAAGGGGAAAAAATGTGTTTATTGAAAAAAACCAGGGTTAAGTTCCGTAGAAGTAAGCGAGCGACGGGAACGCAGGAATGGCAAGGAGGGGAAAAAAAAATCTACGCATTGAAGAACTAGGCCACGGGTAGGCAACCTTGGCTCTTTTATGACTCGTGGACTTCAACTCCCAGAATTCCTGAGCCAGCATAGCTGGCTCAGGAATTCTGGGAGTTGAAGTCCACGAGTCATAAAAGAGCCAAGGTTGCCTACCCCTGAACTAGGCGGATTCCCTACCACAGGGGGGGAAAAAAGAAAACCACGTCAGCCCCGAACAGCACTAGAACAACAGGTGCCAAAAGTTTGGTTTTGTTTAAAAAGGAGGACGGGTCCGTCACCCAAGTTAGCAAAAAGGGAAGGTTGGCATGCTTGTTCCTAAAGATACTGAAGTGGGCAGTGCAGTTTTGCAGACCTTGAGGAAGTTTGTTCTTAAATTAGCGGAGCAACAGCTCGAGGGAAACGCGATTCCTTCGAAGCCATGGCAGACGGCTGCAGCTCTTCTTCCAGGCTGCAGAACCGGAGCGACACGCAAACCTGTGTGGATCTTACCTGCATTTTGCCCCGACATACCTAACCTCTTTTGGGGCTTTCAGTTGAGTGACTTCTGCAACTGCCTGGACTAGTAGTCCCTGCAGTTGTTTTAGCAAGTTTTTGGAAGTGGTTCGCCATTGCCTGCTTCGAAAGGTTGAGAAGGAGTGACTGGCCCAAAGTCATCCATCTGGCTTCGTGGCTAAAGCGGGACTAGAACTCAGGGTCTCCAGATTTCGAGCGTGGAGTCTTAATCACTGCACCAAATTGGCTTCAGACAAGTCCTACTCATCGCTCTTAGAAAAATTGTCCTACCTATATTTTAAGTCTATTCCTTGTAGTACGGTACATGATTGGGTCCCTTGTAAGAATCAAAGCCTTTGATAGTGCGCAGGAAAAAAAAAAAACCGCCTTAAAAAGATTTGCCCTAAACTTCAAAAAACTTAAAGCATAATTATTTCCACAAGACAGTATTCTTTTTCAGAGGGGAATACCTCTAAATAGCCTTTATACTCTCCTAGGAAGAGATGAAAATGTACACGGGGTAACCGTTTTTTCCCCTGATATATTGTACCAGTAGGTCTTTGTTTCTTTTCAAGGATTGAGAGGCCGTCACCAAACAGTCCCTCCCGTTTTGTTTCCCTTAACTGCTAGTTAGTGTATGTTGGAAATTCTGGACCCAAACTGACGGAGACCCCAACAGCGCTCCAGAGATCACGATTCAGAAGGGATCTTGGCTAGCGTAAGGCAAGACGTTTGTGTTTGCTGTAGAGCCATACGTGAAAGCAAAAAACATACGTGCGAGTAGCTACGCACGTACTAACTGCGGGTCTGCCTCACAGTCCTGCCCCAGCCTTCCAGGAAAGGAAGAGAAGAAACGAAAGCTTCACACTATCGGGTGTTAAGTCAAAACAAGCCCCACGCCACCTAAAAACAAGCGCCCACGTGGTGGCTAACTGGATCACACGAATGTATAAATGACTTGGATAGAGAAGATGTGCCAAGAAGCGAAGTTCGGGATGCCCTCCGGTGTTCTACCCGAACCCAGCCTGCACCGCCTGGTCAGAACCGCACCGCCTTTTCGCCCTTCCCTTTCATCTGCTACCTCTAAAATAAAGCCTGCCCCCCCCGCATTCGCTCCCCGATGGCGGGGGAGAAGGATAGGGAGGGGGACACGCAGCACTGCCAGTAATTTAGCTTCCCCACCCCCGAACCCGCATCCCCTGGGCTTGAATGGATTTGGGCAAGTGCGCCCCCCCCCAAGGCCATCCGACCCCAGGGCGCTCCCTTCTGACCTGCGGAAACCGGCCAGGGCATCCCCAGTTAGGCTGGGGTCTGGTGCGCCCTTGGGGGGGGGACTGCGGTCCCACTTAGACGTCGGGAGCGACTTATTTCCAAACAGGGTCCCTCCCAAGCACACCCTTTTAGTACAAGGGCAAGACTAAAGCAAGCAATAAGGGTCCATTCATAGCCAGACTCTTCGGACCGAGCAAGAACGCGTCAAGGGTTCCGTTGGTGCCGGGAAAGGACAGGTAGGGTGCAGATATTCCGTCTGAAATGGCTTTCCCGGGCGACTTACCTGAAGGCACGGTGTTTCGGTCGCACACGCCGTCCTTCAGCAACTTGTCCCGGATCTCCCAGCTAAACATGCCTGCGTTGTCCCGCTTGTACTCCTCGATCTTCTTCTCAACGTCCGGCGTCGTCACCTGCTTTAATAAAAAAACAATCCAGAAAGGAAACAAGGTTTGTAACTCTTGGGGGACTGGGAGGAGAGCAGAGTGGAAGAAGGGGAAAGGGAGGGAAGGGGCGAAAGGAAAGAGACAAGGGAGAAAGGCATACAGTATATAGCAGAAAGGCGAGGCTCGGCGGTGCAGAGCAAAACAGCGCAGCGTCTAGGACCCTATCGGGACGAGTCTTGGTGCCATCGGTTTTGAAAGGGGAGCTTGGGACGCCTGCCTGACCTAAAGCACCGAAGTCAAGAATATGGTATGATTCACGGGAAGACCGTTTAAAATTAGCAAGACCCTCCCGTAAGGATGAAAACAACACTCGTTAATGCGGGGGACGGACAAGTTAAGAATCGAGAGCTACGCTTAAGAAAGAAGAAAGAAATGTGTGCTTTATTCTCACAAAAGGAGCCGAAGGAAAATAAACCGGCCCTCAGTCCCATCCCCAAAATATCCACTAAAATTAAGCGTTTCTTTTAAAACAATAAAGGTCGAATGCAGAGCCAAAGATGGGGCAGAGAAGAATCAACGCGAGGAAAAATCCCATGTAATTAATGGCAGACAAAATGTTACACAAAAAAAAGTTTCAAAAGTGAAATAAAGTTTCACTGCACAAAAGTAATCGCAGGTTTTTCCCCCAAAAAGGGAAAGCAGAGGCTGCATTTTCCTGTGTTCACGTGAATCGTGCAAAATATTATTTAACATAAATGACAGAACCCCCCTGTTGAAAATGAAATCGCCAAAATAAGCTTCAACTTTCACAGGACCACAGATGTGATACCTTACGTTAGCACTTAAGATTTCAAATCGCCCTTCTCTTTAAAGAGAAATGTGAGGGGAGAGGGGGGAATAATCTGTATATACATATCAAGATTATGTAACTTGTAATCAGGTATAATATAACCTTATTAAAAGATGAAAATATTTGTAAAGAAAAAAAAATCTGCTGTAGTGTAAACCTACTTCATAATTTGGCTGGTCATTTTGGTAACATTCTTAAATGTATAAATATATAAATGATACAAAATGTATGCAACTGCATGTCATAAACATTTCACTCCAAAGCAAATGACTATAAAGTAAACCACTTATTTCAATCGGTATTTATGTCCCCCAAATCTGTTTAGAATTGAGATGGAATTGCAGCAGCTTAGTGAAAACTGGATTACCCCCCCCCCAAAAAAAAAGAAAAAAGAAAAGCTGAAAGTATAGTTTCACTTTTGGCTCAACCCATACTTATTAGTCGCATTTGCTTGTACACTCACTGTACTGTACTGTATACACTGGGGCTAGTATTAAGTAATGATCTTAAGGTTGCATTCTTTGCTGGATGTCTGGGCGGTGGTTTTGGTTGAGGTCACTACAGCAGAAGCAGACCTCATTGCCTTGAGAAATGTGAGAGCATCCACAAGTGCCCTGAAAGGAAAGGGAAATCTTGGGCTTCTCTGGAATCTGATTTCCATGCTGTTTCTCAGAAACATTCCAGCAGGGTTAGTGACCAACTGATTGTGGGAAACACGCCAGGCTCACCTAATTTAGGATTGGGTGATCTACACAAATTCTCTGAACAACTCTACAAGGAAAAGAAGTTAAAAGAAAGGGTCGTTTTGCACAGCGACAAGCAAGGCAAGGAGCTTTAAGGCTAGGAAAAAGATATGCTCCGTCCTCACGTAAAAGTCCAGGCTAGGGGGAAGGAGACTGCGAATGCTCGACCCAGTTCAAGGCTGGGGGAGAAAGTCTAAGTGATCAGCAGAGGTAAAGGCAGCCCTGTTGATTTCAGAAGGTGCATGCAAGCTCTCCACCAGGTGTGGAAGTGGTTGGAGGTCAAGTTGCGTTGTTGAGTAACTCTGCTCTGCAGATCTGTTTGGCTTCAGCCTCTTTCCACAATTATCTGAGGACAGAGCTAAATCCGTATGGACTAAGTTTTCACAATACACTTACCTACAGTTATACCATTCTAATCCAGTTTTCAGTGGCACAGAACACTGAACAAGCCACGATAGCTGGGCTCAACTGACATGTCAGACTAATATGGAAACCCAATCTGGGTTTCAACATAGAGTTCTCCTCATGAAAAGTATCCTTCCCTAGCTGGATGAACAAAAAGAACTGCCACTAGGTTATCCAAATTGTTACTCCCACTCTATGCTCATAATGCCCTGCTAACCAAAAGCTTTGTCCTCATAGATTGGATATCATGCTAGGGACTGACAAATGGCATGTCTGTTATATTTTGCCAGGAAGTGAATACATTTCCTTTTTTTTTTTTTTTTTTAGAAAAAAATCAGTTTGTTTTATCGTAGAGAATAAAACACAGAATATTAAAACAAACAAACAAACAAAATGTACTCTGTGAGTACGTTTTCAGCCTGGTCAAGGGACCCTACTGACCACCCTCTACAATTTATAACCTAATTGGATCTCATAGCAAAACAACTTAGGAGTGTTTTTTATTCCCCCATATCTTCTTGCCCATTGGAAAAAAAACTATTTTTAGGATGAATTCATACGAATCAGTTAATAAGTAAGACCGGCATTATCTTGAGGAGAGGGGGTCTGTGGGATTTCAAACTGCTCATATAAACCCCCCAGAGGGACTGAGACAACCCAGAATCAAGAAAGCTGGAAGAAGAAGACAAGCTGAGATGAAGGTGGTAGACCTTCTCCAAAAGTGCCAGACTAACTGTATACTCTGCAAGAAACATGTCCTTCAAGCTAACTGAGCCAAGCTCACCTGTTCTCAAGTAAGGTAAACTGCCATTTTAGAGGATGTCTCCCCATCACCTGACTGTCTTCTGAGATACTCACCTTGGGTTTGCTGCCCCCAATGGCCCCTGGCCTTATGGAGCCGGTCTCCTGGTACCTGCACAGAATCTTGGAGACACAGCCATGCGACACTCGGAGCTGGCGGGAGATGACGCATGGCCGGATGCCATGATGGGCCATCTCCACGATCTTGTGGCGAATATGGTTGGGTAGGGGCCTGCCATTGATAAAAACACCTCCGAGCTGATTGACTCGGCCTTGGCCCAGAGGAGTGGACACTGGATGGAGGGAATATAAAAAAAAGTACTCAGATTGGGAATGAGCCAAGTACATCTAGATGTCCCTCCTGCCAAATCCCAGAGAAACGGGACAATGCACAGGACAGGCATATACAAGCATAAGAGACTAGCAGTAGACCTTGACTTCACCATATGGTGGGAAGCTAATATTATCCTGAAACTCAAATCCAAAATACTTTTCCTGGAACATGACAGTCACATATTCATAATTAGCTAAACCAGATGATTTACTTCAACTGAGGCTACTGAATAAGCCAATTGAGTCCTTAGTAGAAAGCAGGCAACCCATTTAGTTAAACTTGGAAGGAATGTTTACTCTCGGAAATTTCAAGTATAACTTATTTAGGAAAGTAGAAGATCTGTCTAGTTCATTGTTAAAATCCGACAATAATAAGTTATACTTAAACTTTAGGTCATCAGGACGTGACATGGTATTTTCGTTGGATGACTTTCTTAAGAGAGAGGTAGAGACTTTTGTTTGCTCGTTTGTTTTGTTCGCAGGAGAGAATTTATAAATTAAAAAAGTGGGAAATTGCTGACAGCACAGTAAGCTACTTTTATGATAAGTAGCAACTTGTAGTTGTCTGCAATTAAATCTCTGAGTGTACTACTTTGGACCATGCCTTTCTTCTATAACGCAAAAAAAAATTGTGGGTATTTGTGAATTGTGGGGTTTTCATAGGTAGGTCAGGGTACAATACTTTTCAATGTATAAATGGTTCTATTCAGAGAAAAAAGACCTGTTGAAATAAATGGCTTGAAGTCAATACTAACTTTGGTCTATGGATTTTACTTGGTTTGCTCTAATCATAGCTGAATCTCATTTAAATCCGCTATTATTTTTAAGGAACATTAGGATTTTAATCTAGGTTCTACTTGGATTTTAAAATGTAGTTAGCATTGTTCAGAAAAGGATATTGTTCTAGTTGCTGGACAGATCTGTAATAACAATACAGCTATTAATACTGCATTCATCTGAAACAGTGCAGTTGAAGACTGACTTGGAAAAAACAGATTTTAAAAGGTATTTTGCCAGACCATCTCTGTGCATCTGTTCCTTTGCTTATGTACACATTCATTTTCTACCAAAGCAATTTGCATAGTGTTGCTCACTGTTTGCTTTGCCACCTCGTGCACCAGCTGGCTAAAGATTTGCCACTTCTCCTGCGAGTTAATGACTTCAAATGTACACACTACCCAAAGAAGAAGATGTTTCACCTGCATTAATAAACAGGGCAAAAGAACTATACAACTCAAACTTTTCTACGAATGGGAACGCAAAGGATGCTTCTGCAAATTGGAAATGTACAAAACTGCTTTTGAGTTTGGGCAGATCCCTTTAATATTCTAGGTGGGGGGGGGGATTTCTCGAAGTTGCAGAAAGAAAGACATTGGACGGAAGATTTTAAAATCTTGTCAAAAGAGGGAAGTGGGGAAATTATAAGCTGAGTTGAAATAGTATATTTTCAAAGGAAATTGTTTGGTAAGAAACTTAATCATTGCTGCTATACAGCACTAGAAATAATTAAGTAGGTCTGCTAAGTCTTGTTAGAAGCAAGACTTCATTATCAAACTCGATAGGAGTAAAGAGAAGGCCTGGTGCTACGAACTCTTTTCTACCCAAAGAAATTTGTTTTTAATCACTAGCTGAGTTAGAAATGTAAGAACGCGGTTCCAAAATGGCTACGAAGTTTCTTGGCTCCTTCACCTGCGAGGTACGGAGGTGGCAACTTTAACCCATTATTTTCAGTGGCATTTAAAGTGGAAAAAAAAGGAGGGAAATTGGCCGTTGGAGCGCAGCTAATTTCTACCTTCTCCGGACACTTTCTTTCTTTTCCTTTTCTACAAAAAATACAAACCAAGTAAACTTAAGATTTGCAGGGGAAAAGTTGGGAAAGGGAGCAAGATTTGGAGCATGGGTTGTTGTTGTTGTTGTTTTTACAATGCTGCTATGTATCCCCATATCCCTATCCCTGGTTTGCTTCCTTGGAAGTGTGCCACCTGAACTGGAATGGCCTTGGATTTTTTTTTTTTCCATTGGCAAGGGCGCTTATTCCGAGAGCTTTCCTCTTTGCCCTCCTTGTTCGATCCGTGTGCGGAGAAGTGGCTTCTTCAACTCGGCCAACAAATTAGTTCCAGAAACGCACGGAGACACTCCAGCTCCACAACCAGACCCATTTCCATCGGCCTCCCTTTACCCAGAGGAAGGCTACGGGGATTGAAACAACCCCCCTCCCCTCCCTTTATTTTTAGCTCCCTTTTCCCAACTCTCCTGCTGCTCCACAGTCCTTACCTTCTAACGGGAAACCGCTGCGAGGATAATTCTGTCCCGGAGCTGGTCGCATCATCCTGGGGACAGCTCCACCCAGAGTTGTCATTTTAATGGCACCTTGGGCTTTCTTAAAACGCGGTTATATCCAAAAGAATTGCGAAGGGGGTTGACGGGGGGGGGGG